TTCCAGTTATTTGAGTAAAAATTTTATAATATATGTGAGGATAAGAAAAATAAAACAATTTTTTTTTCGCTTGCAGTGAACAACAGAAACAAGATACTCTCTATGATACGCCAGATACTTTGAGCGCCCCCCCACCCCCTCGCTATGGTACAATTAAAACTTTGTGTTGTCTACTACACCAAACTGTGGGCTGTCACTTTCAGTAGGTGCTGCACTCTACGTCACTGCGTGTGGGAGAGAAAAGGTTATATTTGCATATAAATGCGGCTCGTCGGGATANNNGGGGGGGGGGGGAAGTGAACAAATTTCATGAGACAAAAGATGAGACATGCGCTGCGGTCAGCAAAGGAATCTGTTGCCAAGGCTGGAATGGACAGTTCACCAGTCCGCTGCCAGGGGCAAATACACGTCGCGGAAGATCACTGAGTTTCCTCAATGTCAAAGAAGCTGCTACATAGCTTCCAGTTTTCTTTATAGGATTAAAATATAAAAAGAAACACGACCTAATTTAAACCACAGTTTCTAGCGATTTCAGAATGAGGAAACATTAAAGTAATGCATAACATTTATATATCACGTTAAAGCTGCTCAGGAACACGATCATTATGCTGAAAATCATAAGACATGGGTTTAGTTAGTTATTTAGTTATTTAGAGAGGGTGAGTTTCCCCATGCACCGCGACCAGTTTGATCTATTGTGATTCCCTCTATGATATTCTACCAGTCTCTTTACCCTACCGATAAATGGTGCGTACCATCAGTCCCACCGAGCAAGCGAGTTCGGCCACTTGCTTAGCGGTGTCTATAATGCTTCCCCCACCTATCGGAGGCTTCAGAGGCTACTGTTGGGCGGGGAACGTCCTGGAATTTGGCTCAGTGATCCCCTTTGGGGATATGAGGTTCTTTTAGGTGCTGTAAAGTTACGACACGGGACACACAGCTTAAAGTCCCTCCCGGAGGACTTGTTCCCTGAATTTTTCCGCCCTTAAAAATTCGACGACCTCCGCCGGGTATTTGAACCCGCGTACCACGAGTCATGAGGTGGGAACGTTACCTCTAGACTACGGAGGCCGCTAAGACATGGGTTTACATGACCTTATGTATGTTGCACTCTGTGGGTAAAAGGGCAGAATTTTATATTATAGAAGGTGATATATATTGTTATATGTGTTAGAGATGTCTGACTTTAGATGGGATATGGATTGGAAACTGGATTTATTGATACCACACAGAACTACAAGTTATTACAGCTGTCGCTGATCTACACACTTTACTAATCACGTATCAGTCTTCACTAGTCGTATCCTGGCAACGAATTTATAAAAATCTCACTGTAACTGCAAACTCTGTGGCCTGTCGTCCGCAAGCGAACTACACCGACCGAGAGATCGCCGCTTGCCGGCAAAGATAACGCCAACTTTAGCGGAGAGAGGGTGTCACGTGGTCAACGCAACGGATCCCCATGGCCATTAATCTCGGTTTTCTAGACCAGAGCCCCTATTTCCTTGAAATATCTCCTCAATTATCCTCATGAGGCTGAGTGATCCCCGTTCCAGAACCACTATTTAGAAAATCTGGTAGCCCCGGGAATCGAACCCGGGACCTCTGGATCTGTAGGCAGGAACTCAGACCACTAGAACAGAGAGGCGATCTCACTGTAACTACAGCACTGTTAACTATAGCACACATAAAGTCTTCACTTCGCATGATAAGTGTTCACTTCACACGCTGACTTTCAAATTCAGCTGAACCCGCTGCCATTTCCCTTCAATCATCTTCAACTCCCATCTGAAGAGATTTCCTCAATTATTCCCAGCTGGCCTGCGATCCTCGTTACAGAGCCTCGGGGCGGAAAATATACCGTTTCCATCGTTATAGCTCACAACACCTCGATTGTTGCTTGCCTATTCTTTGCCGCTGGAACCTCTTTATCGAGTCGTTGCCTAACAATCAACATCTACTCTGGCTCCGCTATTCCTACTTTCAAGCGTCATGTCAGTAAGTTAGCCACTCTGTCTTTAACGTTCAGAAAATGACCATCATGAGCTCGGAGAATCATTAAATCACCGTACTTCAATTGGGTACATCCTGAAAACAATGAACTGTCCTGCCGAGTTACTGAGATGTAGGGTCTCAACTGATAATTTGACAAATAAACACATAATTATGGAACTGGTGTGTTGCTCGACAAAGTCTTCTTAGGGATATCTCCAGAAGCTAACCAAAAGTATGTAGAGATCCTGGAACAGTCATTAATTTCTCTTCGATGCGTCGCCTTACGGCAATGCGACGTGCCGGACTATTATTGTCGAATGTTAGGATGAGCGAAGAAAGGGAAAGCACTTGGAAAGGCGCGACAATGGCCTAAGCGAGGTACTATCCCAGTATTTTTCTGGACACACTGAAGAACATCAGAGAGCGTCAGCAGGCGTCTCAGCTGAGACTCGAACCGAACAACTTTCGACTACGAGTCAACAGTGTCACCGTTCCGTCAAACTTGTAGGCGCCGTAATTGAAAGGATTTCATCGTTTAAAGCGACCGTTTCGCTTCTTAGATTTATTACGATCATGACCACATCATTATGATCACTCACTAAATATGACACTAAACATATCACCATGTCAACAAATGGTTACTAATGATTTCTTCCGTTCGCTTTTCAGTTCTTAACAACTCAGGTTTAGAATTTTTATCCATATTACCTTAGATAATATACTTCTTTTCAGCGCATTAACGGGTTCACAGAATGCTTTTAAAGACGATTTTCCAGTATCGGGCGAGTTAAATGCAACAAGTTAGGGTCGCCTGTCGCCATAAGCTTCGCTTACATATTCTCTTTCAGTTCCAGAGAAGACCCTTAAGTGCGAGCAGGCCACCCGATAAATGTAGCATTTGGGCGCGTTCAAACGATTACAATTCAGGGGCATGCGACTTAATTGACAATGGTCGTGACAAGGAGCGGGAATACAGAACCGTAACTAGTGAACAGAAAATGTTACCCGCGAGACCTCAAGCTGTGCTGATATGTGATTTTAGTTGTCGCCACTATGGCGGCATGGCAATTAAGGGACTAACAGATGTAATAGTACAGCCTTTTGGGATGTGAATGTAATTCGGTAGATATTTATCGACATTTCGGAAGCACCTTCTGCGTCTGTCTTCAGGACATTAATCTTAGCTGGGAGCAGAAAATTCACACATCTCAAGAAACTATAATTTTATCGGGATAAAAGCATTATAAAACATTCTCATTGAATTTGATGTTTCTCTCAAAAAATATTAGGCTAATTAAAATGTCTCTAAACGGAATTTATAGCAGGATCAAAAAACGTACAAGTTTGGATCATATCTTACTTAGAAATGCCTAAAAATGGGCGATTATTTTTAATTTCTTATTTGAATACATCCTCAGGAAGGGTCAAGAAGACAGGCGAAGCGCAACCACACATTCAGCTTCTGGTCAATGCTAATGATGTTCATTTATTGCGGGGAAATCACAATTACCACGAAACTATAAGAATCCCTATCAGGCACCAGCAGGGGGGTTGTATAAATTATAAGTAACCAGAAAGTTAGTACTGTTTCCCCTTGTGTTAGCCATGCACACAAAATTGGTTTGTGGTCCACCGTGAGGGTGCCAACGACATCCAGTTCAGCCCTGGTTCGAAGCATGTAACCACGAATACGTTGTGAACTAAGTCTATAGCCGGCGCGTAAGGTAAATACATACACACATGGGCCCGAGTAAGACGGGGTGGAAGTGCGAGTCCAGACGACACCGTGCAGTAAGGGAATGAGAAGAGACGGCAGGGGATTGAACCGGCACACATAGGTTGCTGCTGCTCTTCATTACGATGATGTATGTGAAACAAGAAGGAGCAGTTTGTTGGCGCTCTGTGTAGTATATAAACAGTTTTAGGTATTTACTTACCTATACCCAAGGCCGCGCCATAGCTCAAGCGGTTATTCGCTGGCTTCTCATCGCGGCGGCCCGGGTTCGATCCCCGGTATGCTCAAGTGGGATTTGAGGTGGACAAAGTGGTGCTGGGGCGGGTTTTCTCCGAGTACTTCGGTTTCCCCTGCCAATCTTCATTCCACCAATTGATCCACAATCACCCTCACCTATCGTCTGGGGCTGGTACAATAGGCCAGAAGCGGCCGCAGTACAAGGGACTTAGTCCAACTCCACTAGCAATAAAAAAAAATATCTATACCCATTTACGACTATACTGAATGAGTTTCTTCATTGAAATAAGCCTCTACTAAGGTACAGAATTCGGAAATGTGTTCGTGTCTTACCGTTCTGATGTTTTTTTGCTTTGTTAATCCCTCGGAAAATAGAGAACTCCTGTTTATTAACTCGAAAACAGAAGAACTTACGGAAAAATGTACTGGGAATGCTTCGAAATGTTTTTCGCTGTGATAAATACTGGTATGACCCCAATCACGCTCGGGATATGAAGGTCTTCTAATTTCTGTCTGATTTGAACTAAATCACCCAATTTTCGTAAAAGTCCACGATTCATAAAAATCCTGTTGCGACCTCGGACAGACAAGATATATCAAATGTAAGAGCAGTACTTTTGCAACTTGGTCTTGCAAACGAGCCGAAAACGAGACATAGTGTCCCAGTTTCAGTAGCCAAATTGCCGCCTGTTAACGGCTAAAAATCTGACGCCGTTAACACTTGCTGTACGTTTGCTCTTGTTACAACAAAAATTCTTAAAATGATAGGTAAAGTAATGGAATGGTCCGATGTTACAGATGTGCAACCTTAATGAAGCAGTGAACTTACCGACGCATGCCGAGCAGCCTACANAGCCGAAAACGAGACATAGTGTCCCAGTTTCAGTAGCCAAATTGCCGCCTGTAAACGGCTAAAAATCTGACGCCGTTAACACTTGCTGTACGTTTGCTCTTGTTACAACAAAAATTCTTAAAATGATAAGCAAAGTAATGGAATGGTCCGATGTTACAGATGTGCAAACTTAATGAAGCAGTGAACTTACCGACGCATGCCAAGCAGCCTACGCGTGTGACAGGCAGACATCTTACCTGAAATGAAAGTACCACCTTCTTAATTTGTGAACTGGCAGAACATACAGTACAAATTCGACACGGCTCGGTCAGATACGCGATCCGTAATGAAGGTCAAGACAGTGTTTCATTTGTCCAGTAGAAAATTAAGCAAGTTCTTATATTTGTTATTGAAAATTCAAACGAATCATTTTTGTTACTATATTAAATGATACCTCATCATATGGTCTAATGCTGAGGTTTTGAAAGCCAACACAACTAAAATCTCAAAATATCTTGTCAACTGGTCATCAGTGCTCAACTCGTCCGCACGCTAAATTTCTAAAGGAAAATCACCTTTCCCATATTCATCAGTCGCCCCTTCTTTCTTTTAACTTTATTCCATTCCATACTTTTTCCATATTCCTTTTCCATTCCATAATTTTTTTTGTTCTATTTTCAGTCATTAGCCCCTTTCAACCTTCCCCCCCCCCTCTCGTTAAAGCAGTTCACTCAGCTTTTCTCTCTTCCCAGTTACCACACTCTCCCGTTATCTCTTTCCTTTCTTTCCCCCATGCTCGTTTTCCATTCGTTTTACTTTCACCATTTCATAACCATCCATTATCCCTTTCTTCTTCCATTTCCTTTATACAACTTTCCCTTCTACCTTCTTCTTTCTCTCCATTATAAGGCTCATATGTTTATCTTCTTCACCCTCTACCGTATTCCTTTCCCAACTCTTTTACGTGTCTGTCGTAACAAATCGTACCCCTGTATACTGCACCCTATACTGATATATATTACAGACGAGCCTCTCCGACATCAGTCACCTCTACCTGTCAGGGTTATCGGACTTAACGACTGAAAGGAAATTGCTAGAGCACCCTGCGCTACAAAAGTGTACTCTCGAATAACTTAATTAACTTTAGGTTAATGAAGTACGATTGGACGAAGTAGGGAGCCGGTTAACATGACAGTCTCAAGGGTGTTTAACTGACTAAAACTCCAGCGTCAATTGTAACATAGAATAATTTATTCATCACTATAAAATATCGCGAAGGCACGTTGATGTTAAGTGTATGATGACACACATAACACAATGTAAGCTCACTGTTAGAGGTTTCAAAATCCTAACCGTGTGATTAAACGAGTTCTGCTCACAACATCCAGTTAATTGAAACTCAAAATTATTGACTTTTTTTAATGTTTCGTAACTCTTTAGTTGAATTCGAAACTTTGGTTACAGCGTGCAACACACATATCTGCTTGTCAAATATATGACTCTAAGTGAATTTCTGTTTCGAGAGCAAGCATTTCGAAACACAACGCTACTAATTCAAAAACCTTGTGTTTTAAAATATTATGTAATTCTCTTAAGCGGTGGAATAGATTCAAACTGAAGAAAGCTCATCTGGAACCAGTTAAACTTGAAGACATGTCGCATAGAAGCATAGTGATCAAAAATTAAACGGCCGCCTACCAAAGAGGCGTCAGTTTGGCGCCTTAAAAGTCTGAAAATTTATGCTGAAATATCGTTTGGTCAGTATAAGACAAAGCAATACGACATGATAAGAGTTACAACCATGGCTCAATAAATGGCCGAACATATGAAACCTGCTTAAACTTATAAACAGGTAAAATAAATAATTATAATTTCCTAACAATTGCCTTAATTGAAATAAGAACTAAATCAAAATGTCCTGAGTAAATGGGGATATAATATAAAATACACAAAAGTCAAACAACCTCTCGTCGCACAAACTTCAATCCACATTAATTCAGCTCTCAGATTTACTGCGTTTTTGGACTTTTTCCATCGTCTGGGGTTCTAAAAGAAATCTAGAACAAAACGTTTTGGAAACCTGACTTGTTTCCATCCTCGGTTTAGGGGGGAGACACCTACTCTCAGAAAACGCTAACCTCAGTCACCGGACGGTAGACAAACTACAGCCATACCACGTACCATGGATGGAGTGTATAGGTGAGTAATGCAAACCTTATTTATATTAGATTGCACGATTAAAAAGCAGGGATGTGATAAATACAAAAATTAGAAATGTAGTAGTTATATAAATGTCAGGATGGTCAGAACATTCTGGACCCCATTCATTTGGCTATTCAAGAAAGCTGTCGCTACAGAACTCATTTCTTCACTCACTCACTCATGGAGCTGAGCCCGTCTTGAGAAACCGCCAATATGGCAGCTACTCAAGAACTTCCAGCATTTTATGAAACCCGAAGGTTCATTACCGTGTTCACAAGATCCCTCCACTAGTCTCTATCCTGAGCCAGCTCGATCCAATCTATACCATCCCATTTTATCTCTAATTCATTTTAATATTGTCCACCTACCTACTTCTCCAAGTCACAATAGATCACTGTGGTCGGGGTGCAAGGGCCAAGAAGGCCCACCCCTTATACATTCATACCTACGTCTTGGTCTTCTCAGTGGTCTCTTTCCTTCCGGCTTTCCCATCAATATCCTATATGCATTCCTCCTCTCCTCCATTCGTGCTACATGATCTGAAGAACTCATTTTCTTTACTGTCATAAAAGTCCAAATCAACTCATATCTCCAAACTATGTTTCTATGAAACGTCTTCATTTTGTCGCCGTTGCAAGAAAGAGCCAATACCTGCGTTTCATCAGCGCAATTGTTGGTTGCAGTACTACGGCTTATCCTTCTGTGGAAAGAGGCATAGGTATGCACTTCTGCAAGAGACTGAGACTCGCGTTTTGTGTAAAGACAGCCGTAATCGGAGACTAGTAGGTTGTGTTTCAGTCTCTCCCGAGGCAGATGATATGAGAACACTTGGACCACAACCCATAACCCTCCGATAACGGATCCCGACAAGTGAACGTGAACAATCTAATAACTTCCCTTGAAAAGAATTCCTCGCATATGGAGTTCAGTTTACATCCTCCAGTCTCTTTCTTTATCAAGTCACCTTCGCTTAAATTATCACCAGCATTGCGCATGCTCTAGTCTTCCCGCCCCGCGTACTCACAGACTAAACATATCACCCAGTACCGAAAGACATAAAATGAAGATTTCAGTAACCTCTTTGATACAATCATGTATCATACCTACGACATATGATGACAGAGAGACTACAGTAGGTGGATCCACCTATCGACAGAGCATCGTTCTACTGGCACACTGTTGCCATTGTGTCATGCAGCATCATTACAATTTATTGTATAGATAATTTTGTTATAGCCCAGTCGAAACTACGTGACAAGATCATTGCAATCTCGTAAAAAAATTATGTGGAATATAGTCTTTATAAGCCGGTCACGGTAGCCGAGCGGTCTAAGGCATGTACTGTCTTCGCTCGCTTGGAAACCGGGATCGTGGGTTCGAATCTCACTCAGGGCATGGATGTCTAGTTTGTGTGTGTGCGTTATTCTGTGTTTGTGTATAGGTAGAGCCCTTGCGACGAGCTGATCACGCGCCCAAGGAGTCCTACCGAATGTGTAAGATCTAGAAAAACCGAAATGAACGGAGAAGTTCATGGAGGTAGGGCAAGGCCCACTGGGGCTGTAGTGCCAAGGAAAAAAATAGTCTTTATAAATCACATCCGACTTACGTTCAAATATTTCTGTCATCATTAGGCTTATTCTGAAGCAATTTCAGTTATTAAGACATTGCTTCCGGCAATGTTAGTTCACGGACATCGCTGTCTACCGGCTGCTGCACTTCAACACATATACACAGTGATTCATAGCTCAGTGTCTTAAGTAGAGGGATTTGTTTATACCTGAGGTCGTTCCCGGTCAGGAACGCCATGTAGACATAAGTTCCATTCTCAACGGTTATGGAACAATGAATGTTTTAAATTCAAGACTGGTTTCTATGTAGTCAGTCAAGGTGTTTTCATGTTGGCATGTCAATATTGTTGACATTCTTGAAATTAAAAAAAATAAACTTTCCTTCAAGAACGCCGTGTTCTTGGATGTGGGGCCGTGTAGGTATTGTACAAACCGAAGTTTGGGAGGAATGTATCGCCTCCATCTTCAGGGTAGAAGAAAAAAAGAGAAAGAAAACATCAGCGAACTTGGAACCAGCGTGCTACACGGTGCCACATCCCAGAAGACGGCATTCTTCATAGTCACCGGCGTGAAAACTTCAAATCTGATAACTTTTCTTGAGTTTCTAAAATTCAAAGCTTTTCGAAATTAAAAAAAGAAGTGAAAATTTGCGGAAATTTCAAAGGCTGTGTAAAAATTTGTCTAATTTTTGTATATATTGTGAAACTACTGCGGCTTACTTCCAAACCATTCTTTAAATTCGAACACCCTCTGTTCCATTACCGTTGAAAATTGGACCTTTATTGGACATTTATATGAAATTTCTTAAGACCTGACTCCCCACGCGAGTACATTCTGCTATAACCGTAACTACTGTATTCACCATTCAAAAATTCTCTATTTATTTCCCACACGCTGTGTTCACGTGCTTCATATGATTTTCAGAATAAACAGCGATCATTTCTCTACACAATAATAAGAGACTGGCCCTTGTAACGATGACGTAGTGTGCTGTATGTGAATATAAAATTAATTTTTAAATACTAGGCCTGTTCACATGAATTTTGGGCTAAGCGATTTGGACTAGTGCGAATACAGAGAACGAAATAAGTGCGGTTGGTTTAACTCTCGCCATGTGACAATATTTCCGCGCAACAAGCAGCCAACCGCCGTCTTGCTCTGCGCCTACAATAGCAGAAAATCCGCCAGCCATATCATTAGGGTTTTACGTAGCTGTAAGGGCATACCACCAATCACAATGTGCCGGAGTCCATGGGAAGCAAGTTTAATTGCGTCTTGACCAGACTGCCCCATTCGATTTTCTAAAATATTTACAGCGTCATTTAACAGCCACCTTAACAAAGTACGTACCTTTAACTGCAGCATTGACCTTGTCCAGGTTCCGGAGTGTCAGGGGCAACGGATCAGAGGTCAACTGCATCGTGGCGTCATCGACTCTCTTCGCCAAAAATATGGCGGTGTGGTGCACTCCGATTGGTCGCTTGTAACAATCCTTCAGAGTCTTTGGTTCGTCCACCGTGCGTATCTTAACAGTCATTTGGTTTGCATTTATCCAATCATTGACACTGCCGTCACGAAATTGAAGTTCCCCTTTCAGAACTCTTTTCACTCGAACCGAAAACTTCGAAGCGCCATCTTCTGTTGCTATAAAGGTAAGTAAAAAGTTGTTAGGAATTTAAGAATAACTCATAATTACAGTTCCTACTGCATAATGAGGAGCTTCATAACTTGTACTCTTCTCCAAGTATATTAGAATGATCAAGTCAAAGAGGATGAGGTGGGCAGGGCATGTAGTATGAATGTTGAGAAGAGGAATGCATATAGGATATTGGTGGGAGAGCCAGAAGGAAGGAGACCACTGGGAAGACCAAGATGTAAGTGGGTGGACAATATTGGGATGGATCTTAGAGAGATAGGACGGGATGTTATTGATTTGACAGATCTGGTTCAGGTTAGGGACCAGTGGAGGGCTCTTGTGAACACAGTAATGAACCTTCGGTTTCCATAAATTGCTGGGGAATTCTTGAGTAGCTGCAGAATTGGCTTCTCCTCAAGAAGGGCTCAGTTCCATAAGTAAGTAATACAGATAAGTGAAGGAATTATTTCTTGTGTATAATTGACAATATTACTACGAGTAATCAATGCGAACATGACAAGCATACACAATATAATTTAATAAGTAAAGACCGACGTACATTATCACTACGTACGTTTCAAATTGCCAAAGGAACACAAACGACTGACTTCATATTGCTGATTTTTAGCTTATGAAGTACCAGACGACCACAATATGAATCTTCACCATCATGAAAAGGTTTACATCTCAACTGATGAAACCAAACAGCGTGGTCTATAGGTGACACTCTAGATCCATATTCGGAAGGTGTTCGGGTCGAATCTCGGTCGGGACGCCGGCTGTCCTGACTAAGGTCTTTCGTGGGTTTCCTCAGCACCTCCAGGCAGGTTCCGCATAGTATCTGTACTAGGCCACGACCGCTTCCGTCAATATACTTTTTAAATCAGCACTCATCAATCATCCTACCATCCGGAGCTACAGCTTACGTTCAGGATACTAACAGTGTCGTTAAATAACCCGCCAAAATATCGATCCGTCAAATTATCACGGAGCGCCAAGCCCCGTCGCATGTCGTCACGTATAAAACCTAAGCCTACACTTTATATTCTACTACTTGATGCGACATGAACCGTACGGACGTCGTACGACCGATGTCGCTGTGTGTGTTCCAGCCCTTAATGTTTCAGGAGAGGAAAGGGGGGGAGAGGCTGAAATAGGTATTGTAACCGTCCCACTGTTACGCAACTTATTTGAATGTAATTAATTTGAAATCTTAATTGTTCAAAATGAAATGCAATGAACAAGTGTAGTGAGACATAGGTCCATTCTTGTATGTAAGAGTTACCGTCTTCCCACGCTTACAGCAGAAACAGGAAGACACTCGTCAAAGGTTTATTAGAGGAAAGTTACGTGAAAGAATAGCTAAAGAATTCTTTGTGAATTCAATACTTGGCAGTTTGTGCATGCCATAACTTAAAAAGAGTGAGGGTTTTATGACGCTTAAGCATTTGTCAAATTCTGACAGAAATACGTTGGAGTCAGAAATCCTTAAACCCTTGTAAGCTTTAAACGGAGTGGAGGAATATCTAATTAAGATACTCATATTTTTCAAATATAGCCAATCACTAAAATTTAAGGGTGTGACAGCAGAGACGCTGAGGAAACAAGGACTTGAAGGTCCGAGTAGTTGTCGAAGTCAGTCACACACCGGGCTCCGTAGAAAGTAGACGTAAAAGTTGTCGAAGTCAGTTGTAAAGTGTTAACCACTTAGATCGAAACAAGATTTAATAATAAATTTCAACCTGAAAAGTGGTTTAGTCACAAAAGTGTCTCAACAAGTATTCAATTGTAAAATGTTAAACGGTGACTAACAAGTTTTGAATAATAATACCTCTGAATGTGAATGTGCTTTGGTAGTCTGTTTTTTCTGCTTCTTTGAGTGTGGTCCGTATAAGGCTCTGAGATAAGAGGATCCCGCTCTACCGAATCCAACAACCTCACCACTTAAAAACCAACTAACCCTGAGAAATTTTAACAACGAATACTGAGATAAAAATATAGTAAAAGAAGATCACAATTAAGTAGAAACAAGAAGGCAGGTGAGAAGGACTGTGGAAAAGGTGAATTCAAGAAGAAAAGGAGAAGAAGAAGAAGAAGAAAAGTGCAGTTAAAGTATTGGCTATCATGTGTTGGGTGTAGTTAGGAATTTTGAACTGCCTTTTCAATTAAAATGTCAAATATGAGTTTATAAATGTCAATTGGTTCTATTCTTTCCACATGCATCCATGGTGCTATAGTTGTCTGCAGTATTTAACATGTGCTGGGCGAATTTTGAACTTTGTTCATTTGTTCTCATTTCTATGATATGTTCTAGGGGCCGCGCCATAGCTCAAGCTGTTAGTCGCTGGTTTCTCACCGCGGCGGCCCGAGTTCGATCCCAGGTCTGGTGAAGTGGGATTAGTGGTGGACAAAATGGCGCTGGAGCGGGTTTTCTCCGAGTACTTCGGTTTCCCCTGCCAACCTTCATTCCACCAAATTCTCCATCATCATAATCACCCGGGGCAGGTACAATAGGTCAATCAGTGGCCGCCGTGCCGAGTGGACCCAGCTGGACTCCACCTCTCACCGTGCGAATTACAAAAAATAAATAATTATATCTCGTTCTAAAGATACGTCCCATTTGTCATATATATCTGGGGGGCGAATTATTTTATATTTAATTTGATATACTCTACTTAGGTTAGTTATTCAGTTATTCTGTATTTTATTTTTATATGGTGTTTTATTGTGTTTTTGGTTTTATATGCTATATTTACCTTAGTATTGGGAAATAGTTTGGTACCGGTTCTTACACAAGGACCAAAATACGTAAAAGTAACACATTTGCCTTTCTATATTATATGTGAATTATCCGTGGATGAGTTTTGTTTTAGTTTTTTGACCTGTGGGGGGTACTCATTGTTTTCTAAAGCATTTCAGCTATAATTTCCTTCTCTTCATTTTTATATTCTTTAGTGAGCTCATATGTGTTCATCCGGTTGACTAGGTAATTAATGGCTGATTTTCTTTTTGCTCGTATGGTTGAAATGACGTATTGTGTATTATAAGTTCCGTGGCGGTGGGTTTTCCGTAAATCCCAAATTTTAGTTCGTTTTGGTTTTCTGTCAAATCAATATAAGTCATCCTATTCTGAGTCTGTCTGTTCCGTAGAGAACTTAAATTTAGGGTGTATTGCATTAATATAATCTAATGTATTCATAATATTTGTTTTCTGCGTATCACATATAATTACAATGTCATCCACATATCTACAATATTACATAATCTGATGTTTGTTTAAAATATCAACAATTGATATATACGTTTCAACTAAAATAGCCAATGCCGGGGCCCTTATTGATAGGCCCTCATTTTCCATACAGTATTGATAATTAATCTATATAAAATTTTGTTTCAAAATGACCCCTCAGAGGTTCAGTATTTCCTCCTTTTAAAGTCTTTCACACTATTTCTATTCAAAAATTCTTTTATTAAGTTTTTAAGTTTGTTATTGGGACATTTTTGTACATGTTTTCAATATAAAAAAAACACAGTTTCGTACTCTCGTCTACTTGTGTTTGCTTGAGCGCATGAGGTAATGCGGTTGACTTTGTACGTTGAACGTTAATGACAACTGCAATGCATCATGCAATACTCGTCTTTTATTTAAGTGTTTTGCTACTTTATATGCTGGACAATTCTTCTAGTTCAGACATGTTATAATGTTGAAAGCAATACAGGATATAAGAGTTGCAGCGGCCTTGCATCCGACTAATCCCCCGTTTAAGGTGTCCTGCTGACTGTCTTCAAGGTTCACAATTTCATAATAATTTCTGAATGGAAACAGGGCACTCAGTTTAATCTTCCAACGTAGAAGAAGATGAATATCCTTATTAAAAAAAAATATACTTATAGCAATGCTTTCTCAGCCGTGATTTGAAGTATTCAGGGTTTTACATCCTTATCCAGAGAAGCCAACTGAAAAATATCACCGATTTACAATTCGTGTAAGGTAAAAATGTAAAGCTGTCCCTGTGTTTAACTAATTAAGCACTACCCCATGAAGACGTATGGGGGAACGGATGTATAGACCCATGTTTTCTTGATCTTGGCACTCCTTGGAGGTGAGTGGTCAGCTTCACGTCCCGGCTGCCTTATCCCCAGGGAAAAAACCCCCGGTACCCATTGGACAAGGGGCTGGGTTGGCCCGAGAGCCGGTCTGGACGACGTGGAAAAGTGAAAATTGCTGGCCCTACTGAGACTCGACCCTCGACCCCTCAGTCGTCCAGCCCGCAGCCAGTCTCTTTGCCGACTGCGATATCCCGGCTCGTGTACACATGAGAAAGAAAAGTCAGCGACTTCCACACCAAGAGATGCACATTTCATAGCAGCAGGACTGTAATGGCACCCGAAACCAGTTCCCTGGCTTCCGAATTACCATCGCAGTGCGGTTTTTGTGATACGGTTCACATTTTATTATCGAGTCTGAATATAATTTTATATCCCTCTGTGTGTGCGTGTGCGTGAGTGCGTGTGATGACAGAACAAAGAGCTTTAGCTTCTGAAGAAACTCAGAAGCGTTCAGGTTTTCCCCTCTTTCTCGAACTTGGCCAAACGGATTGTTGATATTTGTTATTTTGCGTAGGACGGAAATGTCGCCATTGTCAGAGCTTACGAATTACACTGTTACGTTGGTAGAGCATCACCTTTTGGAAAGTTAGGTATTAAAAATGTCATTTTGTTGCTCTTCCTGAATACACGTATATTAATATTGTAACGTACATATCCTAATCGTCACTTCCTAGGCAACGGCCCACGTTCCCGCTACAGGCCTACAATCGGAATGCGCCCAGAGATGGAAGGTTCGTTGCGTAACAAAGGATTGTCGAAACAGCAGAAACCGAACAGCTGAAAAATGTGCCTTCTATCCGGTCCGGAATCCGCCTACATAAAGAGGTTGAATGCATTCGCCGAGTCAGTCTTGAGATAGTCGCCGTTGAAGAGATTTGGAGTCGAGCATTCGCCGAGATATAGTTGAACAGTAATTGTGATGCCGAACGAGATAATGACTGTAATTGTGGCTGCAAGTGTGAATGTACAATAAATATTCGCCAAATCCGAGACCCACGTGGAGTTATTTGTCGCGCTGTATAGGCAACACGCGACAATATATTAAAGCCAGAAAGCAAAGAAATACTATTATTTACTTTATTATTATTATTATTATTATTGGAGGATGTGGGTTTCCCCATGCACCGCCCTCGGTACCTGATACTTCCCCCCATCTACCAGAGGCATTGGAAACTACTTGGGCGGGAAACTTTTTGCCTAATTTTGCTCAGAGGTCTCCTAGAGACATGAGGATATTTTACGTGCCGTAAATCTACGACACGGGACCCACGGCTTAAAGTCCCTCCCGGAGGACTTGTTCCCTGAATTTTTCCGCCCTTAAAAATTCCACGACCTCCGCCGGGTTTGAACCCGCGTACCTTGAGTCATGAGGTGGGAAAGTTACCCCTAGACTACGGAGGCCGCTTTATTATTTGCTTACAAAGTTATAGGCTCTTTTACACGTATTATTTAATACATATGAAAGCTTAATTCTGAATTATTTTCTGCGCAAAGAGTGTAGGTTGCCTTATGTGAAGTACAGATGATAATGAAACGTTCTCAAAGCTGTGATATGGGTCTGAAGGTTCGGCCACACAGAGCGCTACGTACGCTGTGTTCGCTATACGAACAGAAAAATATCTCCCTTTATTGCCAATGTGACTGGCCACACAGACTTCCGTACGCAACGTACGCTATGTTCCCTATGTTAGATGCGTCGCAGAGTGTACACAGCGTACGTAGCGAAAATCGCGTAGGGCTCTGTGTTGCCGAACCCTCAAACTGTTATATTTCGGTTGAGTAATCCTTTGTTGAAATTATGTGACTTAAACTGGTGCCTTAAAACAGGGTATTGCGAAATTGTGAACCTCTGAATTGTTCTATATTACAGGCAACCTCCCCCTCAAACAGATTTGCATTCACACGAAATAACAGAACTCCTGTGAGTGCAATACTCTGACGTCACTGTGACAGCTTCATACATTTTCGCATATTCCACTATCCTGGGCCAACAAACAGAGGAAATGTGGTGTTCTCTACTCCTAGAAAACTTCGCATTACTCAACGCTCCTGTACTCTGCAGACGAATTTCTAAGTAGGCTACAGTCTAATGTCATATACAACTATCACCCTGACAGCAGAACCCTAATTTTTACGTCTAATCCAAGTCCGTCATTGAATGTACTCACTCGGGCTTCGGACCACGCACTGAAGAGATGTTTGGTGATGCAGAGATTTACTTCCAACGAGATGCAGCACCTCCCCACTACCATCTTGAAGTAAGGGCCTATCTCGATATAACTTTGCCGGACAGATGGATTGGGCGAGGAGGTAGCGCTGAATAGCCTGCGCGTTCACCGGACCTCACACCCATGGACTTCTATTTATGGGGATACCTCAAGTATACGGTTTATGCCTCAAAGCCAGCAACAGTCAATGAGTTGAAAGAGGAAATTGTAAGACAAAGTCTTCAAATTCCAAATGAAATGCTTAGTACAGTTTGTGATTCCACTGTTCCGCGTTATCAGCTCTGTCTGGATAATGATGTTCATCCGTTTGAACATTTGCGAACACGCATGCTGCAGTAGATTTGTTTTCTTCAATTTAAATCATTAACTTTATATAGATTTTAAAGAACATTGCATTTGTTGTCATTAAAAGGGTGAGTACATTTTTTGGGACACACTATATATAAATCGAAACAAGAATTAACAACATACGACAATTGTTCTTCATAGTGGAGGCTGTTTTCTGTGAGGCAGGAACAATGCTTTTAATTATTATTTATATTATTTTAAAGCTTCAAGAAGTTAGGGATAGATACTGTACAGGGTGTGTTCATTCAAAGACACTATTCATCACAAATTCAAGTTGTCCAATTCCAACGATGCAGTGGCGCCCCAGCCGTTACGACTCACCTGCACTTCTTTTCCATGGATCCAGTCTTCCGATTGGTGGAATTTCAGCCGTCACTTTTCCAGTGAAAACAAATTCCGTTTCACGAATTTTTGTTTCAAGACTACTGAAATTATCATCATCATCCCTTATTCCATTCAAACAAGGAGGTTTTGAAACGTGACGTCGACGGTAGCGCTGGTAGCCGATCCGTGTGTGTCTGTTTTGGGCCGCGCTTGTGTTCACTTGTACGAACACTCCGACCACACAGATTATCAGGAAGGCCGTGACCGATGTACAGCGCAGATGTCTGATCATTGTTACCGTTTCACTTCATACGAGCCTGCATCAGAGAGACACATCCAGCGATTAGTATGTCAATGTGACGACGGTCTCCTTCAAGGGAAATTCTGCAAAGAAAAATGCAACTGTCTGAAGCGATACGCGTTGTGTCATTTCATAAATGAGGGATATCAATATTAATATACTTTTCTGTGCCAGGGTTTATTGTTATTATTGCTTTTACTATTATCATTGTTGTTATTGTTATTATTATTATTTATGTTATTATTATTATCATCATACTTTTATTATTATTACTGTTATTACCGCCATCATCATCATTATCATCACCATTTTTAGTGACGGTATATATAGCAATAGCCGTTCACGGTAGCCGAGCGGTCTAAGGCATGTACTGTTTTCGCTCGCTTGTAAACCGGGATCGTGGGTTCGAATCCCACTCAGGGCATGGATGTTTAATTTGTGTGTGTGCGTTTTTCTGTGTTTGTGTACAGGTAGAGGCCTTGCGACGAGCTGATCACTCGCCCAAGGAGTCCTACCGAATGTGCAAGATCTAGAAAAACCGAAGTGAACGGAGAAGTTCATGGAGGTAGGCCTAGGCCCACTGGGGCTGTAGTGCCAAGGAAAAAAATATATAGCAATTTTTATCATCTAATTTACCTTAACTAATTAACTCCAAGGATTAAGGGAGGAACATAGACTGAGGGTGTTTGAGAACAGGGTGCTGAGGAGAATATTCGGACCGAAGAGGAATGAAGTGACAGAAGGTTGGAGAAAACTGCATAATGAGAGCTTCATAACTTGTACTATTCTCCAAGTACAATTAGAATGATCAAGTCAAGGAGGATGAGGTGGGCAGGGCATGTAGCATGAATGGGGAGAAGGGGAATGCATATATGACATTGGTTGGAAAGTCAGAAGGAAAGAGACCACAGGGAAGACCAAGGCCTAGGTGGGTGGAACATATTAAAATGGACCTAAGTGAGATAGGATGGGATGGTATGGATTGGATTGATCTGGTTCAGGATAGGGATCAGTGGAGAGCTCTTGTGAACACGGTAATGATGCGCCATTTATACCCCCGATAGGCTGTTGCCTGTTTCACTTTATATTTCTGCAACCAAACTACATGCTCGTCATGTTGAAGAGAAACGTCAAAACTCAGAGAATTTTTTACAATTTTCTGACTATTTGACTTCATTACGGAAATGTATAATTTTGAAGCTGGAATCTGGTGTGTTCATGACTGGTGTTAAGCAACTAAGTAGGATGCTTTTGTATCAAACTCTTTGTTAGAAGAACTAAAAAAAGAATTCTTCAAAATATTTTACCAAGAATAAAACGCATATGTTTAGTAGATACAAGAAAATTAAATCTATTATACAATACGATAATTTGAGGGGTTGTATCTTCCATGACGGTCACGGTAGCTGAGCGGTCTAAGGCATGAACTGTCTTCGCTCTCTTCCGGAAGCCGGGATCGTGGGTTTGAATACCACACAGGGCATGGATGTTTAGTATGTATTTATTTTGTGCTTGTGTTGTCCTGTGTTTAGGTAGAGGCCTTGCGACGATCTGATCACTCGTTCAAAGAGTCCTACAGTCTCTAAAATGATCAAAATGAAAAAAAAAAACAAAGACAACCTTGACCTTGCGGTGTAACCCCTGTTTATTTGTCATCTATTATTAATGTTCTATTTAGTTTGTATTCAAAGACCTTGCCTGTAATGGGACATTTTCGCAAGCACTCTAATATTTTTTTTTATTGCTCGTGGGGTGGGACTAAGTTCTTTTCTCTTCTCTTCTATTTGACACCACAATGTTGGCAGTACCTTAGTGAGGTTACAGAATAGTATTTAAGTTGACGTCCTAGCAACATAGCTCAGTGGACATCACGTAATGCGTACAAGCCTGGATATTTTCCTGATCGCTATTATTTCTAGGAGTAATTTATCTGCAGGAAGCAGGGAAGTTTAATAAGAGTGTAGAATAATGCGCAGGTTCACCTTATATTCGAGTTTTATTCTTTTAGAACTGCAGTGGGAACTGTTCTTAATTTCACAGAATAACCTGAAAGGTACTTTTCCTTCGGGAAATCTCTAGAAAATTTGCTCAGCTGATTAAGAAATTCCCTAACATTCTTGACCAAGTTCATGAATTACATAATTGGGCTTATGCTTAGTCAGACATTATAAGTTTACGATCTCCTACGTTATTTCTCTAACATCCGCTCAAATATTCTCGCATCTACAACTAGATATTTTCCTCCCTAAGACAGACGTACTGTAAGCTCCTCTCTAAACCTTCATGCATGCTGAATGTCCCACCCATTAATTCTCCTTGATTTAGTCATTCTAATGATACTCTGAAGAGTAAATACTCATATATTCTCCTCAGCTCCCTATTCGAGTGTTAAATGTGGTGATGAGTCCCATGGGACACGGACATGAGAATGACTGCGCTGGCGAGGACCAGCAGCAATTGTAAACGACAGATCTATCCTCTCGTCAGAGAGGATGTTACATAAGGACTATGACCAAAAGTGTTCAGTTGAAAAAAAAACGCTGGTCGTGAGTCTCAGGGGACTTGCCGCCAAGACGAACTGATTGGCGGTAAACCTCCAGTCGAGAAGTAACTCTGACTCATTCTGCCTCTGATTTTCGGCAGTTGGAAGGGAGCCGCCGTTCAGAGCGGACTTGAGGCCGGAAGCAGTAGAATAGGAAATCCTTAACAGGCAAATGCTAGTGAAGACACTGAAGGCTGGAAAAGGCTTAACGTGTGCTCTAGTGATGTGTAAAGTGTGGAAATCAGCAATGGCGCTATGATTAAGTTAAATTGTGAGCCGTGTGTTAAAGTGGTCGATAAATCCAATATCCTGTCCGAAACCCCGTCTAGAGTCAATCATGCATGTGACAATATTTATGGTTTATTTAACGACGCTGGCTGTAGTTAAGTCTATATTGCGTCGCATGGTACGCTGATAGCGGATAATGAATTATATGAAATATGGAAGGTAACGGGACGTGGCCCAGTTGGAAGTAAAAAAACAAACTCCGTGGTTTTTAGTCCGCAAGCGAACTATACTGACCGAGCGACCGCCGCTTGTGGGCGAAGTTAGTGACAACTTTTGAGGATAAAGGATGTTGCGTGGTCAACGAATCCCCACGGCTATTAATTTCGGTTTTCTAGACCGAAGCCGCTATTTCCTTGAAATAGCTCCTCACTTATGCCGTTCCAGACCCACTAATTCTCAGAAAATCTGGTAGCGCCGGAAATCGAACCCGGACCTCTGGATCTGTAACCAGGGACTCTGACCACTAGACCAGCTGGAAATACTGTCTCAGTATTTACTTGAAGAGACTGAGAAAAAACACGAAAATCTCAATCAGGTAAGTCGGTATTCCGGGCGAGATTGGAGCCGGGCACCTGTAGGGCAGAATGCAGCACCCTTTGCGCCTGGGGAAACTCGCTGAGTGAGTTAGCTGTAGATACGAAATGACAGCTGCAGCCATGCGTTTGTGAGCACGCGCGGTTGAGTTCGTCTTGAGCGGCATGTCTGGTTCCAGCCGATTCCAGTGGCTGGCACTCAGCGCCATTGTGACACCAACACCGCCCGGGGCGCGGTAAGTTACCAAACCGCCCACTTGTTTAGGACGACTGATGCTCGAAGATCAATAAGATGGGGTCTCATTTTCACGTCAGATGAGCGACAAGAATGACTACGGCTTGAAATCTCTACACCTGATCACCTGGTGAGTTCGGCTAGATGGACATACATGCATACATCATATGGATATTATCTGATAGCCTGCCGCAAACTCTTCGGCTGGTCCAGAGGGAGTGACAAAAGCTCCTTGCGTTAGGCAGCATCGTTCGAGTTCGGACCGAGCATAATAAAGAAGCCAAGAACCCACACACAATTCATATTCAACAGCGCTCCAATAAATATTTGAACAGCTGTAACGCGTGAGTTACACGTTAAAACAAGTGTTCGTGCACAATACCAGCGTGAAAATTAAAAGCAAGGTTCCGGCATATGTTTCAGAGTGTTAAAATGCCAAATAATAATACTATTCATACCTTCGTAAATAAATTAGGGTTGCCAGGTGTTGGAAGAAAATAGGACTCAGTCAAATCACGAAGTGCTCACTGAAGGGAAACTGAATTTAAATCGGTGCTGGGCCCGAGCATTCCACATAAAATTTCCATAGATTTCTTGCAGAAGAGACCGGGATTCAAGGTTTCAGGTTTCAGATTTCCGCTATTTCTGGAGAAGAACCTCAAAGTATGGATTTGAATGCTGTACGATGGTGCAAGGAATGCGTAGGTAACAACAGGGACCATCTTCAACATCTGCTGTGATCTGGGAGGATCTTCTTTGTGATATATTGGCCTATGGGATTGTAGATTGCGCAGAAAAAATCACGCGAAGAGCGAGCCGGCCGAGCAATATGCGACAGGCTATCAAGTGATGTGCCTATATAAACACGTGAAGTATTCCCTGTGCTTAGTTGAGCATCATGACATGAAGTTATATGGGAGACAAGTTGTATAACCTCACAAATTACTGAACTCTGCACTGGACGGAAGTGAATAGTCAGCTTCACGTCCCGTCTACTTTATCCTCGGTAATCACTGATAGGAGGCTGACTGGAACTCAGTCAGTCAGCACGCTCTGTTGAAGAGAAAAATATCTTGTCCCGCCGGAAATGCAATACGAATTTCTCGGTTGTGTAGTGTATATTCTTGTTGTTACACCGAGCCACATACATACATAAAACACATATACTTTAGTTTTTAACGAATATGGAAACTAATGTGCACCAGAAGGACAAATAATGGAAGTTGCAAGATTGAATTACCCTATGTTGCTTTATACTCGCATTAGACGCACAACTGTATAGAAAGGGAAATTTAAAAATTATTTATTTGTAACATTTTATTATTTACCACTTAATTATATCAAAATTATTGAGGTACATTTAATTATAAATGACCGGTCACAGTGGCCAAGCGGTATGAGGTGTCAACTGTCTTCGCTCGTTCGGAAGCCGGGATCGTTGGTTCGAATCCCACATAAGACATGGATGTTTGGTGTGTGTGTTTTTCTGTGTTATGTTGTCCTGTGTTTAGGTAGAGGCCCTGCAACGAGCTGATCACCCGCCTAAGGAATGTTACCGTCTGTAAAATGATCAATAAACTGAGAAATCAGCCCTAGGCTGCAAAGTGAGAGCAAGAGGAGAAGAGAATTTGATTCAGACATCGTTTGCTCCTAGCAATTTTCTTGACGATTTTAGGCTACTGATATCCAAGTTCATTCCTGTAAGTAGCATGAAAATTAGGCGTCAAGTAGTGACACTTCAGCAGTGCCGTTTGATATGTCTTAACTTGGTAGGGTCACACGCGTTTCAGGTTTAACATCAACTAATAAAAGACATGAAAATTATTTTTTAAAAATTAAAACAATTATCACTTGTTTAATCCGAAGTGCGACATGGTAAAGCTAAATTCAAAACCATATAACTTAAGAAACAGTCAGCTCTTGCACCAGAACACATAAACCGTAATTGCGCATGCGCTCATGCGTCCATCACATCATATTCATCACCTGTTAACAGTAATGCCTAAAATAAACTCAGGAAATAATTGTGAACGCACACTTACAAGAAGAGAGACTGCAAACACGCATGCGCGTCTAATGGAAATACACCACTCTAAAACACGTGTCAGGTTCAACAACAAAAAATCAACCAAACCCACGAAAGAGACATCATCCATTAGTTCTTGCAAGCTTGAGGTTCATTATAATAATATTTAAAATTCAGTTCCTACATTACAGAAAACATCCTGCTTCTCGTTTATGAAGATATAGGCTACCGATAATAGCACCTAGAGAAACAATCACTCTTCATTGAGAGAATCGTACGAAACACACAAACGCATTGCGTGGTCAAACTGTATAGACTTCCAATGTTACACGTAGTAGTCTGTATGCCTTGGCAGCAATGTGCGCCTCCACCTGTCTTCAAAATGAAACATAAGCCCATTTAAAAACAAAATTCTGAGCCAAGTTAATCCACTTCTTATTATTTCTGTTCATTTATTTTTTTTAATGCTAGTGGGGTGGGACTAAGTCCCTTGTACTGAGGCCACTTCTGGTCTATTTGGTCTATTGTACCAGCCCCAGATGAAAGGTGAGGATGATTGTGGAGCAATTGATGGCATGAAGATTGGCAGGGTAAACCGAAGTACTCGGAGAAAACCTGCCCCAGCGCCACTTTGTCCACCACAAATCACACTTGACCAGACCCGGGATCGAACCCGGGTCGCCGCGGTGGAAAGCCAGCGACTAACCGCTTGAGCTATGGCGCGGCCCTTTCTGTTCATTTGAGTAAGCTCCGAACTTTATTACTTCCCATCTCCATGTTTGTCTTCTGAGGGCTCACTTTTCAAGAAGATTTCCCGCAAAATTCTGTATGGATCCCTTCTTTCTCTGGCCTGAGATAGACCCTCAACCCATATAATCTCTGTCCACGAAGTCCAAGAGAAACTCGTACCAATTAACTGTCAGTGATGATAAATGGCGTGTCCCGAGGTCATCTATCCATAAACGAGATTCCTTATTACCTCCAACCAAGATTCAGAAATATATGTCACAGCAGACAATGATCAGATCTTTTCTATTTCCATCTGAATCACAATCTCACGTTATCATGGCTTTCGAAATCACAATAGCTTTAGCCTAGCTAATTTTTAAAGATTATAAAGAAAGAAAATAAGTTATTATTTGTTATGGTAAATACACTTAATTTCTTTTGTCGTTGCTCACACTTAAATCCAGTGTAGTTACTGTTAATTTTATTATTATTATTATTACATTAGTGCTGGCTCCGTAATTGGTTCCTGGCTAAGTTTATCGCGTAATTAAACAAAAAGAACTGTATTATTATTACTCCGTTTTGCAGTTACTATAGAAGGCATAAAGGATTAAATTATATTTAATTAAGAAAATACTGAACGATTATTATTAATGACTAGAAATTCTTTTAAATTACTGAATATTTATTTCTCACTTACATTTCAACAATAATATATATATACATATAATTATGTAGAAATCACATGTAAGGGAACTGTAATGTAAAACGATTAATGAAACGTAATGTCTAATTACTCTCTGATATGGGAGAAGTGAATATTCTGATTTACCTCAATTTTCTAATTCTCAGTTTTGTTACTAATTTTACGAACGCGCTACTTTTCGTTATTTATTATACTTCAAAAGAATCATTGTTATGTCGAGACCGCAAGCATGAGCACAAAGATGTTTAAGAATCCAAAATAAATACAGCTTTAATTACCGTGGAATGGAGTAAGAAGCACTTGTTAAAAGAAAACAAAACACGCGAGGGTCACGTGCAGAAAGCGCGCCCTCGCTGTTGCGCCTAACCTCACTTCCAACACACGTCACTGCGTCCAGTCACAGACTGATGCATCAGGTTAGGAAACCAGAAATCCTACAGCATCCAGCAGCTTACAGAAATAAGGGCGGGGTTTGTAGTACTACACATTAGTGACGTCACTATCTCGACGAATAAGGAACAAGTGTGTGGGATTTTCTAACGCGTAAAGAAGACGAAAGCACTTTTCCTTTATTCTCTACCGCCCAAGGACGGATCCTGTATGCATATATGCAGGAAACCTTTCTTGTGTTCAGCTGAGGCTATTAGTCGCCGGCTTCTCACTAATGAGGCCTGGGTTCGATATCAGGTTAGTCCTATGTGATTCGTTGGAAAGGGGGGGGGATGTGATTCTGAAGCAGGTTTTTCCCAGAGCACTTCAGTTTCCTCTGACGATTATAATTCCACCAAAACCCTCTAGTCATCTATCGTCAGGGGTTGGTGCAGTCGGCCCATTTGATATCACAGTACTAATAGTCTTAAAAATATAAGAACCCAAGAGATATGTGAATATATGTATGTGTGAATCGAAGGGATGAAGCGTCAAATTGCGCAACTGGTGATTGATTCATATGTTACTAACAGAGCAAATACAGCAAACATCGAGTGAGATAGAAAGACGTTAATGATATGTCAGCAGACAGACATTTCGAAACAGGGGGGTCAGCCTCGGCATCCCGCCCCATTATTCTTGTGGAATGAATACGGACGCTCATCAAGTTCTGTGAGCAGAGCTTATATCTGTCCGAACGCAAACAGACGAGTCACCGTTGCTGTGAACTTTCTATGTGAATCATTACCGTCAGCAGTGGAGACTAGACGACCAGGCTTATGGGAACGAAAATCGTTTAAAGAGATGAAGATTGTTATTAGTATCGTTCAACGATATTGTATAAAAATATTTAGCATTATATATAGTTCTTCACTTCAGAAAATCTTACAACCCCATCTACTTCCCAAAATGCAGGTGTCTGTCTATAAAAATGTCCAAGATCTTGTGTTTGTGAACGGGGGTCTCGCAAATGCATAGATGGATGGATGTGGCAGGATGTCCTTACTGTTGTGTTTTGTGTATTGTGTTTTGTTTGAACGTGTTGTCACTTAGTGTAATGTGTGTTACTCGTCTGTTGTGTCCTATTGTGTACTACTGCCACCGGGATAAAACCCAATTGCAGTCTAATAAATAATATATATGTATATATATAAATAGAATACTTGGACATAAGAAGGGTGACGCGATCATGTAATTTCGGATATTACGTAATGAGGAAACTTCTTGATTTATACAGATCACGTAGTGTTGTTACTATAGTGAATCATCCTTACAATGAGCCGGATTATAGCTCCGACGAGACAGGACACACATATAGAATTGTCGTGGGTAAACCCCTTTGAAGCCGGTCACGGTAGCCGAGCGGTCTAAGGCATGTATTGCCTTCGCTCGCTTGGAAACCGGGATTGTGGTTTCGAATCCCACTCAGGGCATGT